AAATGGTTGTTTCGTATACTTGAAAACCAAAAAAGAAAATAGAGGAAAGAACATGTAATTATAATAAGTTTTGCCTCAATAAGCTAAGATTCTTTCAAAATATCACATGTTGTTAGTCACTTATTGATAGTGCATTACATAAAGGAAAGAAGTAACCATAGTTTGATGGTCGGTCCTGGTTGGATCAAACTATCTCTTTACCATTTAATTAATAATCAATTATTTTTAAATGAGTTCTTAATTTTTCCTTTACCAAGTGATAGAATCATAAATTGGTCAAGAGCAGAAAAACTTTTATAAAACGGTCATAACACTGTTTTGCTATCTTCAACCAATCACAAACTGACATGTGAAAAAATTATTATGCATGATATACCGTGACTGGCCGAGAATAGCAAAATAGTGTTATCCCCGTTTCACACAAGTATTTCTTGGTTCACGAGAACTAAAACCATACATTATGATTTCTAGACAATCCGAGAAAAGGATTTTGATAAGCAATACAAGGACCCTTTTGTCTCTGAAAGGGAGTCCAATATGTTTAAAATTAACCCATATCACATCAACTTTTTCTTTAAACATAGGTGACATCTTTTTAGAGCATCTTCAAATGAATATGTCAAATACCAACCCTTTCTAAAATACTTATAAATTAATTATAAAATGTACACACATAAATATAATTAAACCAACAAAAAACCCATCTCCACGTTGGTTAGACTTATGATGATAATTTTTGTTAAGGAATTTTGTTCGAGCACAATTTTTTTTTTTATAAAGAAACTACAATTAGAGAGATATATGTATAAACAAAAATTGAATGTGAATAGAAGGGAAAAAAAGCTGAAAAAGACATTAAAAAAAAAATCACCATAATGAAGTGAAGTGACATGAAGAAAGAAGAAGAAAAGAGAAACAACAAATGAAACCAAATGAAGTGAAGTGACATGAAGAACAAAAAAACAAAATAGAGAAAAGTATTAAACAAAGAGAAAAGGAAAAAACATGATCTGCAAAGAAATAATCAAATAATCACATGCCGTATCAAAAAATCAATAAATCAATTGACATCTCCAACATCTTACGTTAAATTTGATAGCAGAGGTTTCAGATGCTTTTTCACATAAACTGTAGCATTTCGGTTGTAGTAAATTTCGGCTAGGTTTTTTAGCCGTTAAATGTGCCACATAAGATTCAGTTTCTTCTTTTTTATTTTTATTTTTATTTTTTTGATTTACGGGAAATGGGATTCCGAATTTGTGACATCCTTCATATTATCAAAATGCTATTTGCTCTTGCACTCAAAGTCCTAAATGTTTCTTCTGAATGCGTTATCAAAATGCATTATTCGAAAAGTTATTTTGGCGTTCGAGCATGAGGACAAGTCTAGTCAATAAGAAACCTCGGCCACAAGTTAGAATTTGGAATCATGGAGATAAAAACAGGATGAACCAAACCCCAAGTTAGAATTTGGATTGGGTTTGATAAGGAAATAGACAAAAAAATCACATGCAATTGCCTTACATGAATGTTATGTGAGCAAATAGACAGAAATCAAACATTTCTTGGTTGACTCTTGTCATAGCTTGAGCTTGAGCTTGACTACACATTACTGTGAAATGTTTTTATTTGATTTTGTTTACATGCAATTGCCTTACATGAATGTTATGTGAGCAAATAGACAGAAATCAAACATTTCTTGGTTGACTCTTGTCATAGCTTGAGCTTGAGCTTGACTACACATTACTGTGAAATGTTTTTATTTGATTTTGTTTTTTTAATTTTTGTTTTGATATCCCTGTCAAGTCTGAGAATTTAACGTGAACGGGAGAAGAGGAAATCAGCAATGTGACAGAAACTCCCGTCACCCAAACATGCCATAAAGCTTTTTTGCTTTTCACCTTTCCTATTATAGAATGGGAAAATTCTGACAAAAAAAATATACTATAATGGGAAAATAGGGTAAACGGCTATTTCCCCTATAAATTATATAAAACTGACGAATCTATCATTCACTCTCATATTCCTAACAATTCGATCTAAGATATCGTTACATAAAGTCAAATGTTCTTGACTCATTTTTGAGGATCTCCTCGTCATTTCACATTATATTCTTCACGAAAAGTAACTTTAAAAGTCAACAAAAAAGTATGAGACGAGCTTTTAAACTCAAATATTTTCTATGTTTGAACACTCACAAGCATGAAAATATCCGAATTTATTATATATGTTTTCTTTTATTAATGCAAAGGGGGATTCGAAAACTTAACATATGTTTCAATATTAATAATAAAAATAAAAATATCACTAGATGAAAAACTAGTCAATTAGCTACATGTATGCAAGAGTAAATTCTCGTTCCAAGTCTTTGCCATAAGATCTTATACTCAAGGCTTAACTGGTGATTTACCTCCTGATTTTGTACATAGGTTTCGTTTTACCCCCTCTATTTTTTTTTCAGAAAATTAAGGACCCAAACCAAATTTTTTTCGATAATTTGCCCCCCCAACGTCAAAATCTGCCATTTCCCATCCATTATGTCATCAAGTTGGTGTTTTGATGGAGACACGAAATGACAAAAGTAACCTCCAACTTGACAGCAAGATGAATGAGAAGTTGCAGATTTTGACGTCCGGGGGCAAATTGGCAAAAAAAAACAGTTCGAGTCCTTAATTTTCTTTATAAAAAAAGAAAAGAAAATAGAGGGTAAATCGAAACCTAAGTACAAGTTTAGGGAGCAAATCACCAGTTAACTTTATACTCAATGATATACAGTCCAATAGAAAAATTGGCATCTCATGCTAACATGCATACATTTGCCAATATAGTGGGTTACTTAGAAAATCCAGATTTGAATTAAAATAATATGGCCCTACACATTATTTTACCCTTTGTCAACATCATGGAATTTTACATAGCATAAAGCTGACAGATCTTAATCTGGCTTAGCAACTTGGGCATTACAGTAAACTAGTATTTAATCACACTTACTGGGGGATGGGGTAGATTCCTTTAGATTCCACAGCATGTTCCTAGTGGAACCTTTACCGCACTAGTTAATATAATAATACTAGTATTATTGGAAAGGACCCTCTGATCTGCACCAATACTGTATATACACGTGGTTGTGATCCCATTCGTCCAGATACCTAGCTTTTCTTTTTGGTCAGAAAATACCTAATTATAGCCTCCTTCCAGATACTCCTCCTTTCTACAAGTCATCGAAAACACAAAGTGAAAAACTTATACATATATATATACTGATATTTTGCAGAAATGTAGAAGTTCGTATTTATAGGAAAATGAGGAAAGTATTTTTGTTTGCGATATTTGTGTTTCAATTCAAGAAAGTCTTAGGTACATAGGAACCCAATAATAATATTTGTCCTGTTGAAGAAGCACATCTTGTGTGTGCCAGAGCACATCCAGATTTGCGTGCTCATTCTTCAAATCTTCAGATCACGTGTGATGTTATTTTAAGAGACAACATGTGACTGAAGACATAATAATATATTAAGAAAACATTTTTCATCAAATCACAAAGTAATTGATTTACTATTATGTCGGTGTGTTTTTGTTTTTGTGACCTACTCCATTTTGTAGCTCATGATCAAAACCATTTAGTTTGTAAGCATCAAGTCGATGATATCTTCGGATTTGAACATTTGATTTCTTCCAATAATGTAAAAGTAGACGGTTCGAATTGTTGAACTATAATACGGAATACATGCGAGTACAACTAATTATCCATATCTCTAAGTTGTGTATAACAAAGGCATGCCGCTCATGAGAGTGTATTAGTCAACCCTCCACTACACCTAAAACTTACCATCCTTCCCTATCAGTTGTAGTAATTCAAATTATAATAATTAACCCCCTTAGTGCATGAGAAAGACTTTCCTGATCAATAACGCTACGATATATGCGTGATAATATTTTCATGTGGTATAGCATTATTGACATAGAATAGCAAAATAGTGTTATTCCCATTACAACTAAGTTTTTCTCCCACGGCACACCGTAACCAAATATCACCTACAAATGTGTAGTGTTTTTATTACTTGCTATTAAAAGCTATATTTCGGGCTCCAAAGCAGGTGGGGGTCAGAATTCAGCTCATCACACTAGACATAATGAAAGTGACTCTTTGTGGCGTGCACCAAAATCTAATGTGGTTGTGGCCATGCCGCAAAAGTGAAATAAATAATTATGCAATGTATAGTATGGTGATTGGCATTGTTAAAGATAGCATGAGGAAGGCTTCGGACAACTCCGGTAGGCAGGCTTTGTGTCGACAGCAATTTACACTTGTATTTGCCCGATCAATTGTTATAAAATGCTAACTTAGACATCGGAGACTCTTTGGTACGATATTCTCAAGAGTTCTTCAGCTCGCGTACTTCTTTTTATCTCAAGCTGGGTGGTCCGTGGGCAATCTTTTGTAAACATTAATGTAAATTTGTAGCTGTTAGAGTAGAAAAAGGTCACTGTTTTGGTGCCGTGGCATTGAAATGACATCCGTGACTTTTGGCCTTTTTCTGATAGTGCAATCATCCAAAATGGTCCTTATACTTATTTGGGAACAATTGCCCACTGTCATTATACTTTTACCAGTCTGTAGGATTTTCTGAACGGGGCGGGAGTGATTAGCATCTATGCACTTCCTTGAACATCACACAAATTCCTCAAAATTTAACAACTTCCTTGGGTTAACCACACATAAGATATAATTCTCTGTCTCTCTAACCAAATGGGATAAAATTAGAGCACAGAGAAGTGAGAGGAGAGTAAAAGATTTGAATATCAGAACAAAGGCATAAGAGGAGGGCCAGGCTACAAAAGAAAATGGAATACAGTCTGTATCTGTTTTACCAAACTACTCCACTAACCAAATCTACATTACAATATGTATGCCATCCACTAGACATACCATGACTTATTATCTCCCCTTTCCCCCATCCTAGCAACTCAAAACTCTCTCTCTCTCTCTCTCTCTCTCTCTCTCCTTTTCCAAGGAAAAAATATCCTTTCCCATAAAATAAAATTTTAAAATGAAATAGAAAAAGGAAAACCCACAAAAGAACTGTGCCAAGCTATATATATATATACTCTCTCCTAGACACTAAATCATCACACACTTCTACTCTCACAGCCATGGCAACCTTATCCTTTGTTGCCTTCTCACTATGCCTCCTCTTCTTCTCCTTAGCCCAAGGCCTCAGCAACAACCCCCAATGTAGTGAGGCCAAAGACCAGGGCTCTAACCTTCAAGTCTTCCATGTCTACAGCCCATGCTCTCCTTTCAGACCCACCAAACCAATGTCATGGGAGGAGAGTGTGCTCCAAATGCAGGCCGATGACCAGGCCAGGCTCCAGTTCTTGTCCAGCCTCGTGGCCAAGAAATCGGTTGTTCCAATTGCCTCCGGCAGGCAGATCATTCAGAGCCCTACGTACATTGTGAGGGCCAAGATTGGCACCCCACCTCAGACCTTGCTCTTGGCTGTCGATACTAGCAATGATGCTGCTTGGGTCCCATGTAACGGCTGCGTTGGCTGCGGTTCCAATGTCTTTAATTCTGCCAAATCCACAACCTACAAGACCCTCGGTTGCCAAACTGCTCAGTGCAAGCAGGTAAATCATATTTTGTTCTTTTCTAATTTCTTTAAATTAAACAACCCTTCTCTTTATACTGCAAGTAGACACTTTGACATGTTATGTTCGACAATTAAAATGAAAATCTGGACCGTTTGTTAAGTGATAATTTACTTAAATATGTGACTTATAGTGACAGCTAGACAAACGTAACATCTCAAATATGTGTCAATTTTTCCTTTTTAGGTATGGTTCAGCTAAGCATATCTAGTATCTATTTTAATTATGCTAAACAAAAACTAGATCTCTCACAGGGTTTAATAATGAATCAGATCTCTTAAAGTAGATCCTCTTTTTGTTCGTTAAGTGATAATTTACTTAAATATGTGACTTATAGTGACAGCTAGACAACGTAACATCTCAAATATGTGTCAATTTTTCCTTTTTAGGTATGGTTCAGCTAAGCATATCTAGTAACTATTTTAATTATGCTAAACAAAAACTAGATCTCTCACAGGGTTTAATAATGAATCAGATCTCTTAAAGTAGATCCTCTTTTATAAACTCTATTTTAATGGGTTAATAATATGTCTACTTTATCAAAATGGGGCAAAATGATACACTAACATGCATGTGAACCCTTCAGGTACCCAACCCCACCTGCTTAGGCAGCACCTGCAGCTTCAACACCAGCTACGGCAGCTCCACCCTAGCCGCAAACCTCTCACAAGAAACCTTCACCCTAGCCACCGACGTCGTCCCCGGGTACACCTTTGGTTGCCTCCAGAAGACCACCGGCAGCTCCGTGCCGCCGCAGGGTCTTCTGGGCCTGGGCCGGGGCCCACTGTCCCTTCTATCTCAGACCCAAAACCTCTACCAATCTACATTCTCATACTGCCTACCTAGCTTCAAATCCCTAAACTTTTCTGGGTCATTGAGGCTTGGACCTGTTGGGCAACCCAAGAGGATCAAGTACACCCCACTGCTCAAGAACCCTAGAAGATCATCACTCTACTATGTGAACTTAAATGCAATTAGGGTTGGTAGGAGAATTGTGGATATCCCTCCTGCTGCCTTGGCTTTCAATCCTACCACCGGTGCAGGGACCATCATTGATTCAGGTAACACTTTAAAAATTTGTTCCTATAAGAATTTTGGTCAGGAATGCTATTTTGGACCATTGCTGAGAATGTGGTCTAGTCACAGAGTTGATATTTAAATGTACATTTTCTGTGATCATGTGACTAGCCCACATGTCTAGAGGACCCCTCTTGGACTTGTATTTGGTTTTAACCCTAGAGACAAAACTTCCCTTGCTCAAATTATAATTGTCCTATTGTTATGCCGTGTCTCTTGGTTGGTTTCATTTTCGTGAAAATTTGATTGGCCTAGTTAGTGTATTAATTTTAATTTTATAAGAAAGATATGTTTAACTTTTAAAAGTGGCCATGCATGATTAGAAACACTTTCAAGTCAAAAAGCTTGTGACTTAATCATGCATTTGCCACTAATTAGTATAGACCCAAATTTCGAGATCCCTATGTGAACATAATCTTTTCTTTATCTCACATCTGTAATACGAACTTTTTAAACTAAAGTTTCTTTTTTCTCTCTAATCAGGCACCGTGTTCACCCGGCTAGTGGAACCGGCCTACGTAGCAGTACGAAACGAGTTCCGCAGGCGGGTCGGTAAATACCCGTTTCAAACCCTAGGCGGGTTCGACACTTGCTACTCGGTACCCTTTGTTGTACCCACCATAACGTTCATGTTCTCAGGCATGAACGTGACACTGCCAGAAGACAACATTGTAATCCACAGCACAGCTGGGAGCATCACATGTCTAGCCATGGCAGCGGCACCAGACAACGTGAACTCTGTGCTCAATGTGATTGCCAATATGCAGCAGCAGAACCACAGGGTGCTCATTGATGTGCCCAATTCAAGGCTTGGGGTGGCCCGTGAGCGCTGCACTTAAATCTTTTGTTTGGTTCCCAAGTCCCACGACCATGTTTGGTAAACTAGGGTTAGCTTACTACTTGTACTGTTTTGATGTTTTTACTTTGGATTGGGGTTGTGGCTTTGTTTGGGGTATTTTGGCCTATGTGTCAGAGTTTTAAATTAATTGCTGACTGACTGTGAAGGTCTTCTCCGAAAGTGGTCTGTAGCAAAAGTCCAGATTTGAAATGATTTGTAGCTTTGTACCGACATATATCACGAGAAAGGGATCTGTAGCTTTGTGTCCTTTCTCATGTGTGATTGAGATTTGTTTGATAGGTGGTCGTAGAATGTCACGGGTTATTTTGCAAAAGGCTTGCAAGAACCCTGTATCCAAGGGTTTTGATTTCAATAAATTTCAGTAATAATTTTTCTGTTGTTTGAGCTTTGATTAAATAGTTCAGATTTGCTTGTAAGAAAACTATTTTGCTTCGCTTTTTTTTTATTTATAAAAATCTTACATGGAAAAGGAGTCCAATCATTAACATATCTAATCCGATTCAGGACTCATTTCACTGCATATACGACACTTAAGCCGACTTCAAAGGACTTAATTGTTTTTGCATCACTCTACATTTTACATGTTTCAATTGCTATATGCATATTTAAGAGAGGGCAAGCTTGGTTCCAAAAAAGCCCGTAATTAAGTAGGGCGTTGACCAACCACTCGTAGAGACAAGTTGGTTTGAGCTGACCCATTCCTTAGGCCCAAAAAAAAGCCCGTAATTAAGTATGGCGTTGACTAACCACTCTCAGAGACAAGTTGGTCCTGAGCTGACCCATTCGTAGGTTGGAAAAAGCCCATAATTAAGTAGGGAGTTGACTAACCACTCTTAGGTAAGACTGGCAATGGGTCGTGTTGTGTCGGATTCGTGTCATGTTATTTTATACGTGTCAGGAATGATCAACCTAAACCCGACCCGTTTAATAAACATGTCATGCATAGGTTGACCCATTAAGTTCTCGTGCGAATTTCGGGTCGTGTCAGGTTGACCCGCTAAGTGGTAGCAACTAAAAGACATTTAATAAATAAATAAATAAATAAGAAGAATAAACAAATAAACGGGTTAGTGGGTTGGCGGGTTACACGGATATTTTAATGGGTTAGCGTATTACATATGTATTTTAGTGGGTTGGCGGGTTGACCCGCTATGACCCGTTTTGTTAAACGGATTACATAGGTATTTTAGCAGTTGGCGGGTTGACTCGAAACGGGTCATGGTGGGTTGACCTGAAAATGACCCGAATTTTAATCGTGCCGGTTTCGAGTTGTGTAATGGGTCGTGCTCGAAATTGCCACCCCTACTCTTATGGGTCATTTGGCACATCGGACTGTCATGGACTGGATTAAATCTTGGGACTATCTTGGATTGGCTTAAGCTGGATTAAGTACTAACCTACAAGCTAGATTCTAAAAATAGTGAAGACCTATGTTTGGTGATGTGTCAGACTAAAAAATAATTATTATGATATTTAAATTTAAAACAACAATTAAAAAAACAACTATAATTTTGAATTTTTTTAAAGGCTAAAATTATCTTAAACAAAAAAACCCATCAGTTTCATACCTAACCTAACCTCCTCATTCTTTTTATCTTTTTTTTTTCTCTATATTTTTTTTTGTTTAATGAGAAACCTCACTCATTCTCTCTCTCTCACATCGCAGCCTCCACATCCCTTTTTTCCCCCAATTCCCTTTGTTCTCTCTTTTTTTTCTTCTTGAATTAGAAACCTCTCTCTCTCTCTCTCTCTCTCTCTCTCTCTCTCTCATATCACAACACACCTCTTTTTTTTCTTCTTGAATTAGAAACCTCTCTCTCTCTCTCTCTCTCTCTCTCTCTCTCTCTCTCTCATATCACAACCCACCTCCACATCCCATTTTCCCCTAGTTCTCCTTCTCCCCTTTTGACTTTTTTATTTTATTTTTTATAATTCAATCGGGAAAGCTTCAAGCAGAGGCTTCAACAAAGGTGTTCTCCTAGGCACGTCCTCTTCGATCTTGACTAGCCAGTGATCTGGGTTTGTTTGGTTGTAGAAATTAGGTAACCCCATGAGGAATCAGAGCAGATAGAAGGGGCTTTCTGGGTCGACTGATTGGGTTTTCAATAGAAGAGTAAAACAAAGCAAAGCCGAAGAGGAGAGCCAGAGCAACGTAGAAGAGGATAAAGGCAGACTCGATAGCGACTTCGTTATTCAGTAGCACCTCTTCAGAGCTCGCTATTTTGTGCGAACGAGTGCAGCATTTTTTATGCCCTGGATTCTTTAGTCTCGTTTAACTTAGCGAAGGGCTACACAAAACATGGGTTAAGGGTGTTATTTAAGCTAGTCCAATCCAAACCAATCCAAAGAGGTGTACCAAACAGACCCTCAAAGACAAGTTAGTCAGAGCTGACCTATTTTACAGGCCTAACCATGAGTAATCTCCTTAGCTAGGTAAGTTGATACGTCAGAGATTAGGCAAAGCTTTAGCCCATTAGAGTTACCAATAGGGTTTCTAACTAGGGATCTAGGCTAGTGTAGGTTAATGCTATAAACTAATAGAGTGCGTAGGAGATGATATAACACAAGAGATTTAACGTGGTTCAACCGTTATATTAAGTTTGTAAAGAAAGATTTAAAGGAGATGGATGTTGTTTCAAAAAAGAACACAATTTGTAAAGAACAATATACATCTATATATACAAAGCAAAAGGCAGAGAAAGGTGAAACATTGAAAATACTAAAAAATGCCCTTAGTTAATGCAAATATTAAGAATTGAAATTATTAATTAAATGAGGATAATATGGTAAATTCACACTTTTTCATATTAAAAAAATTAAAAGAAAAATTAGATAATATATCCTATTTTTATGAAACACAACTACCCATTATCTTTTTTAATTCTAAAATAAATTTAAAATTTTTTTTAAAAAAAAGCCTCTTGCAAACGCGGAAGCGTGTACAGAGAGGCTAGTGTTAATAATTTGTTTTCTGAAATTTTATGCCGCAAAGTGCATAGATTAGTGCCTAGGTCACATTTAAAATGGAAATATTAGAGGCACCAACTTTGGGCACCAACTCTGTAATAGAGTGTGGGACCCATTGTATTGGCGGGCTCCACCTCTATTAGAGAGTTGGTGCCCAGCCCAAGGTGGTGCCTCTAGCACCACCCCATTTAAAATTCTATGCTACAAACAAAGCATGTTTCTCTCTAGCTCCGGCCCGGATGCATTGTTTTGTCTTGTTTTGCTACTTCACTGCTGGAAGGCTGAAACCTCAACTCAACTTCTAACAACACCGGCCCATTTCATTACCCAAGAGACTAGGGCCCCCCTCGGCCCATTTCTTATATAAGTCGCTGTCCCGCGTTTGGTGATATCTGCTCCTTAAAAATACTTCCAAACATAGAGGTGGTTGAAATAACAACCTCCATCCAAATAGGAAAATTTATAGGAAATGAGCTATTTCTCATTGATACCTATTAGATTTATTTGCCAAAAAAAATTAAAATATATATATATATATATATAAATAAAGGGTTAACTACATAAAAGCACCTAATCTTTAGGGGTCATATCAAATTAGTATCCAACCTTCAAAATTTTGCATATTACTTGAACTGAAGGAAAACATACAATAAACCCACCGTTAGTTAAACTGTTAGTCAAACAATTAAATGATTATGCGGCAAATCTAGGCCCCAATTTTTTTGCTACTGTGAACTAAATTTTTTTAATAAAAACTAAATTATCTTTTGAAATAATTTAAAAAAAGTTAAAAGTACCATATAATATGAATAAAAATATTAAAATATCACCCCAAAAAAATAAAAACTAGGTCCTCTCTCTCCTTCCCCTACAATCCTCTCGGCGCCTCTAAACCCAGCCCACCCAGCAAACCACTACAACCCGCCACCCTCCCCCTCACCATTCCCACTCCCATCCTCCCCCTAATAGCCCCGAGAGTGTTTTTATCGTTATTGCTCTTGCGTTGTGTTCTTGCTTGATTCGATCTTAGATTGTGGGAAGGAAGGCTGCTTAGCTTGTTCGAGAGGCGATCAAGTCTAAGGCCGCACGGAAGGAAGACTCCGAAAAAGTCATCCCGTGACACTAGGTAGGCTTGCAAAGGCAGTTAAGTTTGCCGGTGCTAAAAAATTTAGTGGACTTTCCAAATTGATGGACTGCCACCAGGGTCCTTCAGAAAAACTCGTAATATCTTATTGTCAAATCTTGTCGCGATATAATGAGAGTTGCTTTCTCTTTCTCTTTAACCCTCATGCAGATAAAAAGTTTTTATTTTTGTTGTTACTTTATATATGAAAGGGTTAAATACCTTTTTGGTTAATGGGTTTAACATGAAAATTCAATTTGATCATTGATAAAAAAATTTAGCCAAATTTGTTATAGTATTTTTCAAAATTTACAATTTATAGATATTTTGTTATTTTATGTTAATTACGCAATCACCTTAATTACGTCTTCTTGCCATTTGAAGTCATAATACATTTAGGAATCAATTGATTCATGCTTCAGTATAGCATCCAATATGTGACCTTATACTCCCTACAATTTCGATTTCAACCCAAGACTTTCCCCAATTTGTTAAACCCTAATAGCACAATATATCCTAACTCGTTGAGTTAGAGGAAGAGAACCGAATGTGCTTCCTAAATATATATATATATTTAACGAAAGATACCGGAATGTTAATAAATCGTAAACTTTAGGAAATACGATGATCAAATTGGATAAATTTTTTTCTTTGTGACCAAATTGAATTTTCATGTTAAATCCAAGTGACCAAAAAGATTATATGCTGCAACCAAGAACCTGTCCCAGTTTTTATTAGTGTTTCAGTTTGACACAAATGATAATCAACAACTCCACTACACAGCTCAAAGGTTGGTTGTACTTGACGACACCCCAAGGCTGCCAGATCGTGAAAGGTTCGACCATATATTTAAGATAAAAAGAGTCGTCTTTCCCTTACAAAAGATTTCTCTACATCAAAGGAGTTGATTATGATTACTTTTCCGGACGATCATACTATGAATCTGCTTGTATGTCCACCTAATTATGCTGAAGCATTTCAAGTTTTCAAGCTGGAGTTTAGTGATAATAAGAATACGAATAAGAATGCTGCTCCTGCTCCTCTTCCTCCTCCTCGATGGGTAGAGATTGTGGGGATTCATGATCGGATATTGTTTCTATGCCAGAAATGCCATGAATTCAAATACGTACTCCACAGTTACACTGATGATCTACATGATATATATCTAAGACACTGCATCGATTCTGGTTTAGTTTTATTCACCCGACCAGTCGCCTGGCTCACACAAAATCCCTGGTAGCATCTAAGCCCAAGGGCGGAACCACACTAAAGGCTACA